ATGTCTTGGCTATTGTTAATAGTGCTGCTATGAATATTGGGGTGCAGGTGTCATTTTGAAGTAGGGGCCCCTTCTAGATATATGCCCAGGAGTGGGATTCCTGGGTCATATGGTAAGTCTATTCCTAGTCTTTTGAAGAATCTCCATACTGTTTTCCACAGTGGCTGCATCAAACTGCATTCCCACCAGCAGTGTAGGGGGTTCCCTTTTCTCCACAGCCTCTCCATACAAATGTGATCATTTGTATGTCTTCCTTGGAGAATTGCTTGTTTAGGTCTTCTGCTATTTTTGGATTGGGTTGTTTGTTTTTTTCTTATTAAATCGTGTGAGTTGCTTATATATTCTGGAGATCAAGCTTTTGTCGGTTTCATTTGCAAAAATGTTCTCCCATTCCGTAGGTTGTCTCTTTGTTTTACTTATGGTTTCCTTTGCTGTGCAGAAGCTTGTAATTTTCATTAGGTCCCATTTGTTTATTCTTGCTTTTATTTCTATTGCTTGGGTAGACTGTTCTAGGAGAACATTTTTGAGATGAATGTCAGGTAATGTTTCCCCTGTATTTTCTTCTAGGAGGTTTATTGTATCTTTTCTTATGTTTAAGTCTTTGATCCATTTTGAGTTTATTTTTGTGCATGGTGTAAGGGAGTGTCTTTCACCTCCTCTTCCGCTTGGGTTTTGATGGGCTGGGATAAGATGTGGTTTCTCTTGCAAACCTAAATTGATCATTTAAAATAATGCTTTATTTCTGACTGAGTCAAAATTTCCTAAAATTTTTTGCCTGTGATTTTATGTATGGCTCAGGGCAAACAACTTATCATTTTCTCTGAGCCTAAGTTTCCTGGTCAAGAAAATGAAGGTGGATTTTCCCAGGGTAACTTCTGGCCCTAAAATTTAAGTGTCATTAAGAGAAGAGGCCCTCTTGTATGTAGCAAATGCTATTTGAGATAATTAACTGAATTTCTTGCCCCAACTCCCTAGTGCTTCCTGTATTCAGTACTTTCTTCCCCCTTTCAGACATCAATTTATTTATTAAAACAATGTTTAATTGACATATATTTGATTTTCAATAGTGTGTTAGTTTCAGATGCATAGCAAAGTGCTTCAGATTATTTTCCATTATAGGTTATTATAAGATATTGAATATAGTTCCCTATGCTATACAGTTGGTCCTTGTTGCTTATCTATTTTATTTATAGTAGTTTATATGTACTAATCTCAAACTCCTAATTTATCCCTCCCCAGCCCTTTCCCCGTTGGTAACCATAGTTTGTTTTCTATGTCTGTGAGTCTGTTTGTTTTATAAATAAATTCATTTGTATGATTTTTTAGATATAAGTGATATCATATAACATTTGTCTTTCTCTCTCTGACTTACTTCATTTAGTATGATAATCTCCAGGTCCATCCGTGTTGCTTCAAATGGTATTATTTCATTCTTTTTTTATGGCTGAGCAATATTCCATTGCATATATATGCCACAACTTCTTTATCCATTCATCTGTTGATGGGCACTTGGGTTGCTTCCATGTCTTGGCAATTGGAAATAGCACTGCTATGAACACTATGGTGCATATTTTTGAGTTAGTTTTCATCTTTTCCAGATATATGCCCAGGAGTGGGATTGATGGATCATATGGTATGTCTATTTTTACTTTTTTTAGGAAACTCCATACTGTTTTCCATAGTGGCTGTACCAATTTACATTCCTACCAACAGTGTAAGAGGGTCCCCCTTTCTCCACACCCTCTCCAGCATTATTTATAGACTTTTGGTTATGGCCATTCTGACTGATGTGAGGTGATAATTCAATATAATTTTGATTTGCATTTCTCTAATAACTAGTGATGTAGTGATGTTGAACAGTTTTTCATCTGCCTGTTGTCCATCTGGATGTCTTCTTTGGAGAAATGTCTAGTTAGGTCTTCTACCCATTTTTTGATTGGGTTGTTGTTTTTGATACTGAGTTGTATGAGCTATTTTTATATTTTGGAAATTAAGCCCTTGTTGGTCACATCATTTGCAAATATTTTCTCCCAGTCTGTAGGCTGTCTTTTTGTTTAATTCATGGTTTCCTTTGCTGTGTAAAAGCTTTAAGTTTGATTAGGTCCCATTTTGTTTATTTTTGGTTTTATTCCTTTTGCCTTTGGAGACTGATCTAACAAAATATTACTATAATTGATGTCAGCAAATGTTTACCTATGTTCTCTTCTAGGAGTTTTGTGGTGTTATGTCTTTAATTTAGATCTCTAAACCATCTTGAGTGTATTTTTGTGTATGGTGGGAGGTAGTGTTCTTCACTGATTTACATGCAGCTGTCCAGTTTTCCCAAAACCACTTGCTGAAAAGATTGTCCTTTCTCCAGTGTATATTCTGCCTCCTTTGTCAAAGATTAATTGACCAAAGGTCTGTGGGTTTATTTTGGGGCTCTCTATTCTGTTCCACTGATCTATGTCTATTTTTGTGCCAATACCATGCTGTTTTGATTACTGTAGCTTTGTAGTATTGCAGACATCAGTTTTTATACAAAGCGCCCTCCAGGAAGGGCAGATACCTCTAAGAACAAAGTAGTCAACTAGGATATGGTGTAGATAAAAACCGAATAGCAGAGAGTCTGGAGAGTGAAAATCTTTTTTTGGAATGAAAAAAATGTTTGGCTTTGACTATCAAGAAGAAAGTACAAGATTGGCTCAAGACAATTGGCATTTCCTACTCCATGACCACTTAGAACAGAATAGGAGGGAGAAATCCTGCAAAAACAGAGTTCTAACACCAAACAGATGGAGAAAAGTTCTGAAGTGACTGAATCACCTTGAATTGGTAAGATGAAGTTTCCCACTGTCACCAGAAATGGGAACTTAACAACTAAGTTTAGTTACAATGAAATACTCAGCAGTTATGTTTTTAAAATACATGTACCTCCAAAGCCCTCACCATACGCTCCTCTCTGAGGCACCTGGAACAGAGGGACCCTGTGTCTTTCTAAGGTTATTCTCTTTGGTTTGATTCTTAAGTGGTGCAGAGGAGACGAAACCAACAGAGGTTCTTACTCCAGCTTTTGAGTCTGTGAGGCTATTTCACCAGTGGGGAAACAATGGTGCAAAAAGGACAGCCCGCCATCTGAGGTCAGGGACCTGTCTTACTGGTCCCTCATGATACCAACCTCCCGAAGTATGAGCCAGATGAATTAATTCATAAGTGGATGAGAGAGAGAGGAAGAGAGAGGCTTACCCAGTGAGAAGCTGTGCAGACTAGGAATCAAAACCTTAATCACACTGCTTCTCCATGGGGCAGGGTGTCTGGGACTCATGACCCAAGCTTACCAGATGTCTCCATTTTCATCGTAGAAGGTGGCATGGCCAGAATTGTTGATAAGGGCCCGGATACACAAATGTTCACTGTCTTCCAGAATGATGCATGTGAATTTTCCTTCTTTTATACTGAGGATGAGCATGGCCAGGTGTCCTGATGGATAACTGGGAGATGGTTAAGGCACAAGTAGTCCCTTGGGATCCCGTGGGGAAGGCAGAGCCCTGCAGAGGACCAAGGCCTCTGTAAAACCCATGACCCAGTCCCGAATCACAGACTTTTAGGCATCACATGTGTCAGCATGAGTGTCCCCATGGTCTAGTGGATACTGTATCTGGCCTGATCCATCAGAAAAGAGAATTTGGAAGACAGTCTCACTGGGGTAGAGAATTAATTCTCCATCACCTTGATGAACCTAGAAAGAAGAGACAAGCCTGTGAAAGGTGCATGGGGGCTGATGGACCAAATTCAAGGCATGGTGTTGTCACTAGAAGGGTTGGGGTGGTTCTACTTACTCTCTGATGCCCACGTGCCCCCCACGCATCACTACCCCTCCCATCACTACCACCAGCTTGCTGGGGATTCTGGTCAGGAAACTTCTCAGGGCTTTGGTTTACTTGTCTATGTGACGAGGAGGCTGAAATGGATCACTGTGTGTGTGTGTCTGTGTGTGCAGATTTTAAACTGTTATCTCATTCACTCTCATGTTATTGATTGTGTTAGTTTCCTATGGCTGCCATAACAAAGTACCACAAACTGGGCAGTTGAAAACTATGGAATTAATTTTCTCACAGTTGTGGAGGCCAGAAGTCTGAAATCAAGGTGTCAGTGGGGTTGGTTCTTTCTGGAGACTCTGAGGAAGAATCTCTTCCATGCCTTTCTCTAGCTTTTGGTGATGATCCTTATTACTCTTCCTTGGCTTTTGGCTGCAATCCTTACTGTACCTTGGTTAGGACACATATGGCTTCAACACCTCCATCTTCATGTGACGTTCTCCCTATGTCTCCATCTTCTTGTAAGGACACCAGTCATATTGGATAAGGGGCCCATCCCACTCCAGTATGACCTCATCTTAACGGATTACATCCTCAGAGACCAATTTTCCAAATAAGGTCATATTCTGAGGCACTCGGGGTTAGGACTTAAACATATTTTTTAGGGGGGCCAATGTTCCACCCATAATATTGGTATATTCATGGATTTTATTTCTTCTTGAATCAGTTTAGTGAATTATATTTTTCTAGGAAATTGTTTATGTAAATTTTAAAATTTATTGTCATAAAAATTTGTGATATAATTTAAAAAAAAAAACCCTCTACTGTCTCTCTGTGATGTCCTTGTCTTCATTCTTTATAGATTTTCTACCTTTTCTTTTTTGTTTTTCTGGATCAACCTTGCCTGGAGATTTGCCTACTAGTCTTCTCAAAGAGCCAACTTTTTGGTTTGCTTATTCTATTACTTCTTTGTTTTCTATTGTATCAGTTTCTGCTCCTTTTATTATCATTTATATATGTTCCTTTCTGTGGGTTTTCTATATTAGAAAATTATTTCTATTTTTTCTAATTCTTTGATTTGAATGTTGAGCTCATTGATTTCCATCTCTCTTCTTCATGACCCTCCTCCTCCTCTTCTTTAATATAGGCATGTATATTTCTGAGTTTTTGGTGGGGAGGTAATTAGGTTTATTTATTTAGTGATTTTCTTAAGGGAGACACTGGGGATTAAACCTAGGACCTCATGCAGGCTAAGCATGTGCTCTACCATTTGAACTATACCATCCTCCCTAATACAAGCATTTAAAGCTATAATATTTCTCTCAAAATACTGTTTTAGCCGTTTCCCCCAAGTGTAGATACCTACATTTTCATTCTGAATATTTTCAAATTTCCAATATGATTTCTTCTTTGACACACAAGTTGTTTACCATGTTTTTAAATCTGCACATGTACCAGTTGTTTTTGGCTATGTTATTACTATTCCCAATCAAAATACACAAGGGTAGGAGAGCAGAGTCTATATGATAGCCACTCTTTAGTGTCTGTGGCCCAGTGTGTCATCAATTATTGTAGCTATTTCATGTGTGCTTGAAAAGGACGCAAGTCCTCCAGCTGCCAGGTGTCCCCATCAGGTGTTAAAACCCAAGCCCCTAGGTGATCAGGACAGCTGTATCCTCCTTCCCACCCCTTCCCTCTCCCAGGACACTCACTCCTCACTTACTCTCACTCTTCTCATTTCCCAGTTTCGATTTCCAGTAATAACTCCCTTGCTTTCTTATACACTCTGCTCTGCATTTAAAAGGACGCTTTTTACATTTCCACTAAGTTTCCCAGGTGTTTGTAGCAGGAAGCCTTTTCGGGTCATCTCGTATCCTGTGTGATTCTAACTAGATGTCAGATCAGTGGTTTTCAAGCTATTGTTTTTAACAGTTATAGAATCCTGTGTTCAAGAGAGCTTAAAGCAGAATGCCAAAATCTAAGTATATAAAAAGAGATATGGTGGTTTGAGGAGGAGGTGCTGGGGGCGCCCCAGGGCACAGCCTTTAAATGCCCAGGAGCCACGGCATGAGATGATGACAATGACCCTCTGACTCTGTCCCCACACCCAGCACTGTGCTCAACACCTCACTTCCACAATGCAGTGACCCTGAAGGGTAGGCAGTATCAGCCCCGTTTAAGAGAGGCTAAGTGACCTACACAAGGTTATCCAGTGAGAGGGGAGCCGGACTCCCACAATCTGGCGCCCAGCCTGCGGGCTCGTCTTCGGAACCCATGCTGTCTCCAACCACTAAGCTCCCAGCCACCTGGCACGCTTAGTCTACAAATCACTGCTCTTTTTTTCTTAACCTAGAGAAGTGCTTTATAAGGACATCTGTGGTTGGTTTATTCCTAATAGTCCATAGGAAGCTTCTAGATATGGTTCATGGGAGACGATTTTGTATTTTAGGTCTTATTTTCAAAAGCCACCTGAAAGCCAGACTTTCTCTAGATGCTTTCTTCTTGTCAAATTCACTTGCCATGTAATGACATTTTCCTGACCCCACGGGCAAAGAAAAATCTCTGGTGCAGAGGTAGAGTCATCACATTTTTTTCTCACTGGGAAATATATCACAAATGGCATATCTAAAAGCCCAAATCTCACCATCATTTGCCTGGGGACAGAGTATGAGGCTAAGAGCTGAAAGTTAAGAGAGAAGGGATTACATCTCTGGCCCCTTCTTCAGTTCTAGTAAAGAGAAAACAGCGCCTCGAAGGTAGGACCCAGCTGCCGTCTGTCCATGAGCTCTCCCTATTGCTGTCTGTCTGCCTGCCTGTGAGTCCTCCCTGGCTCTTGTCTGTCTGCCTGTGAGTCCTCCCTGGCTCTTGTCTGTCTGCAGTCTCTCCCTAACTATGGTGGGGATTCTGGCTCCTGGGTTGGCCAGGCTGGATTTTGCCTGAACACTGGCACACACTTATCAACAGTCCTACCTGACTCAGGAAATTACTTGGAATTCATTGCCCATTTATAAAAACAAAAAATGACCAAATGTCCCCATCCTCATGAGCCTTCTGGGCAGCCTGCGTGAATGGTGGGTTAGGAAGGGTCTACCTTAGTCTTGCTCTTTATCCAGTCCGTATCTATTTCTAGTGTCTTCTCACGGCGAACAATACGAGGTTTTTTTACTTCTTCTTTCTCAGGCTCCTCGACTTTTGGTGGTTGATGACACAAAGTAAACGAGATAGTGGTCTCTGTAGTCCTTTGGTTAAGCAAGTCTTTGGTGGAAAAGAGAAAGAAAACTTACATCCATTTCTCTCAAGGCATCAAAGAGAGTTTGAGGATTTGGGATATCAGGCATGTTCTCCCAGGCAAGGAAGGCTGCCAAGCAGTAGGAAGAGCAAGCCCTTGAAGGGAGAGATGTTGAGGCTGAATTTCCAGCTCTCTCATTTTTGTCATTCATTCAACACGTATTTCTTAAGAACCTACAATGTACCAGCCCAGTGCCAGATCCCAGATGCCATGGTGAAGACCACTCAGTCCAGGCTTGGAAATGTGAGGGGGGACACACCAGCCATATTCCCAAAATAAGCATGGCTGCTGATTCTGTTAATTGAGAAAAATAAGCTAAAGTGGGGAGTCATTAGAAAAAAATGAAACCTACTTTAAACATGTTATTTTAACTTAACATGCAAATGTGTATTAACACACCATTTTTTTCTGTACAGCACAATGTTCCAGTCATGCATATACAAATATTCATTTTCATATTCTTTTTCATTAAAGGTTATTATAAGATATTGAATATAGTTCACTGTGCTATGCAGAAGAAAGTTTTTTTAAAAAAAAATCTGTTTTATATATTGCGGCTAACATTAATCTCAAACTCTCAAATTTATCCCTTCCCACCCCCTTTCCCCGGTAACCATAAGATTATTCACTATGTCTGCTAGTCTGTTTCTGTTTAACACACCATTTTTAAATGCAGAGCTCTGTGATCATTTTCACTCAAACCCCATTCATAGTTTATGATGTCTAACTTTCCGTTGTGGCAATTGCTAAATAGCCTGAGTGCAAAATTAGACTTTAAAAATCTTGCTGTATATTCCTCATTCTTTTACGTATGTTTAGTCCACATCTAGTTGAAGACAGTTTTCTAAAAAAATCTTCTCTTAATGAGTCTTCTCAAAGCATTCCACTTAATTTTCACAGCAACAGCACTCTTCTTTTCATCTTCATTTTGGTCCATTTTTTATAACAAGTGAACTTTGGAACTACGCTACGAAGGACACCGGAGGAACCACCCCGGCTTCCCAGGGACCCTGGGGGGCGGGCGCAGCGG